ATTCCTTCAATAGTCTTTTACCCCCAAGGATGACTGGGGAATAGAAATATGGTCACCATTGGTCACCGACCTGCAGTAAAAATCCTTGCTAAAGTGGGGTGTCCTTTTGGCTGTGACGGATGTACAAGTTTGTAGCCACGTCTGGTTAGAATGAGGACGTTAAATCTGAGGCCTTGTGTAAAGAGTGCCACGCTCTTTGCACGTTAAGAACCCTTGCTACAACTCATTGAGGGGTCCGTAGGTGGCCAGTGTTTCAAGGCTAAATTTCTGTCCCTATTCAATATACCCTCATTTTCCTGTGGCAGTCCAAATTTACCCGACCTTCATCCCTGACCGCCTCTATTACAGGACCTACCTATTGTAATAATGTTTAATTTGTTCTCGTCCTGAACATGCATGAAATATTTGCCACTGGAGGTTATGCAACCAACAATCATTCAATCAATCAATAAGTCCTCAGTCAATACAGTGAGCATAGTGAGTGGAAAATAATGTCTTCAAGAATGAACAGTCTCCTACTTCATATGGAAAACATCTTTATCTTGTCAGAAGTTAAGAAAAATATGATTTTAAAACAGATGTATGAGGGTATTGATTGAGTTCAGAATAGAATAAAAAATCACTGAAATGAAGACACCCTCCCCCCTTTTTCAGATCCCCATGTATATAGATAGTAGATTCATCACGTGGTACCTCATGTATATGAAACATCAATTTCTTGCCTTGTTCAAAGTATTGTAACTAATATAAGTTTATTATACGCCAACCTTAACCTTTTATTTTCCTATTGTATTTTATTCTTGACTAAAATGTATTAACTTACACCCACATCTGTAGACATTTGCAAACCTTATTGTTTCAACTTTTTTATGGTTTCCTAGCTATATTTACCCTCAAAGAAACCTTAAAATTTAAAATGGCTTGTCTGTATCTGCCATTCTACTCAGTTATGATGTAAGGAACTTAAATGTGACATGATGGTTGTGTCTTATTGATGATACAATCTGTTACACCTTGTGATTATATATAATGGTCAAGTAGTGGTTGTAGATGCACAGAGATTGATTTAGTACAGTCAATCACATAATTGATTGTAGCAAATCATAGTCATTAACCAGTGTTCTCCCCAGGCCGTTTTAGCGTCGCGGTACCGCGACGCTATAATTATTTTGAGGATGCTATTTTTCTTGTTTCTATATCGTAAATCCATGTCCTAAATTTTGAACTTTCATCTAATTACCGCCTATGATCATAAAAATTATATCACCTTTAAGTGTAATCCCTTCAAATCGGACAATTGAGGCATTTAAGAGTGATTAAATAGGTGTTAATTGCCCTTTGGGTGATAACTGTTTGGATACGAATACCCCAAGCTGACACTTGTGACATGATTAATACCACGTGGTCTGTCTGCAATCGCAAATTAAGACATGGAAAAAATGTAATCATACAACAATTCGAAATCTACCTTTTGCATTACGGAAATTCAAAGATACAAACGATTTTTCTCTTTAAAAATGAGGTTTGGTCGTTTATTTTTACAACTTTCATAAAATTACTTTCTTTCTCTTCCGCCGGTACTACTTGTTAATCGAGAGCGAACATATCGGTTTTGGGCTAAATAAGTTGGCTTAAGTTTATGTTTCATCCATTTAATACATCAAAAGCGTCACATTCGTTCCCAATCTCTTGTCAAACATTGTTTATTTTCGTTAATTTTTCTTCGGCCGCCATTGACTACTTTTGTGTAAACTACCGATCGGAACCGGACCGGATATGACAAAAATCCGCATTTTTACGATAATAACTACAGATGCACAAATGGCACAGCAGACAGAAAAAATATACCAAAAAGAGAAAACTATGCATTAACAGACTATTTGTTAGATAACTTTGTTAAAAATATCTATCACCTTGATATAAAGAAACAACTGGGACTAATTCATTGAGTACCATGAAACAATGAATTTTTAGACATGAAAATTTTTTTTTAATTGAAATTTTATTGCTATATGATACTTTCTCTTTTTTTACTTGATATTTAGTATTGTATATATATAAAGGTTGCACTATAATAAACCATTCACTCATTCATTTAGTTGGGTAGGTAGGGTAACTAGAACCAGAGACATATATTGTATTATATGTCTCTGCTAGAAGCCTAGAACCACACATATATTGTTATATGGCCCAAGAGGAAAACAATAATTCTGTACAATAACTATAAATGAATATAGAAAACATAAACTGAAACAACTGTTATCATGGTTATATTTTAATTGTATTCTCAGTTATGAATTGAACAATATAAACATATATACCATAAAGGAAATAGAGCATCACCACGACGCGACAAATGACATTGAAAAAAATACAGTTTATTTTTTTTACGCCAAATGTGATGCTATCCAAAATATCTGGGGAGAACACTGCATTAACCATTAGAATTTAATGGATTGAATCTTGTTGTTTTAATTCTGTGTAGACTAATAGAGCTCATTAAACTGCAAAAGTGAACTGCAGAATTATCTGTCTGAGAGAAATAAAGCTTTAATGCACTGCAATATCTTTCAGGAAAAAGTATTGTTGGTAACATATTAGTGACTTAAATATATTCGAAACCCATATATATATATAACCCAATGCAGAATTTGTATGAACATAAAGCATACCTTTTTCAGTAGGATTAGTTTGTAAACTCAGTCCTTACTCGTAACTTCAGAAAAGGTCAATCATAATTTCTGGGGCATAATTATAGCGCAAGTTAGAATTTCTATGAACTAAGAAATTATACCCTTTGCATAACAATATGATCAATCTTCAAAACTTGTTACTGTCTTGATGGTCTCATCGTAGGATGCTGGCCTTGAGTGCAGGAGGTGGTTTAAAGGGGTCTGGCCTGGCCAAAGCAAAGGCTTTAAATTGGCATTTGCTCATTCTCTGCTAAGCAGGCAGCATTTAGGAGTGAAAACAGAGACTGGTCGACCTAGAGTCCAAATAATGTGTCTGGGTAGGACGACATGTCTTCCTGCATAAACTAGCACTTTAAAAATCAGGCTCAGCTTGTAGAAAGCAGGGTTAATATTCATATAACATTAACATGCTTTCTTCCCTGAATATGCATTTAATTTGTCACTGGACTTTAAACGGCCATTCATCATCATCTTTCAAAAAAAACTGTCAATATTCAGTCTGAAGTGAATTTTTGAGAAATTTGTGTTGACCAACCAATTACTAGGATAAAAACTGGTACCTGACATAAGTGCATTTTACTGGTACCAAACATGATTGATAGTTCTGCATGTTACAATACATGGAGACAATATTCAATATTATGGATAGTATTCATTCTATGTTTAAATGTCATGAACATTTCAAGAGAATTTTTGGAATTCTATTGAGACTTTTTTGATGGAAGAGATATCTGTAATGTATCTAATGTGAAAATAAATCCCTTTGGGTTGGTATAATGTAGCTAATATACAGTTTATACAAATTTATTGGTGCAGAAATATACTTTATGGAAACATTATTGGGGAAAAAGTGATATAAATGATAATGTTTAAACAAATTGAGTTAGTTTGAATTTAAATATCGACTTGAGCAGTATTTTGGAATATATAGATTCAAGATAGGAGAATATTATGATTTATAGCAACTTATATGCCTACTAAAAGTCATATGATGAAGGGGTTACGCAGTCTGCACCAAAATCTTTCCAACTACTAGTCCGAAGACACATTTTCCTTTTGTGTCCAAACAATGTTTTGCAAATACTTACTAGTCCGAATAAAATTTTACTAGTCTGGGGCATCAGACTATTGGCTAACGGTGCAGACTGGTTACTTTACTGCTTTGATTACAAAAAAAAATCTCTTTTCCACATTCCAAATCTGATGTATATATATGATTTTTTTATTGAATAAATAGCTAAGCTGAGATAAAGCTATACCAGCATGACTGTTATAGCAAACGTCACCTAATGACATGCTAATCTTCAATAATCCTTTTCCACAGTTAAGATTTTAGGTTCTACCGTAAATGAAGAATATATTGAACCATTTCAACAGTTGTTATTGGAAACAATGGTAATTCTATAAAAAAAAATGTGTGAACGTTCTTTGTAAGTGTTCGAATTGTCTCGTTTAAAGCTTATCGTAGACGAGACAATTATACGACACAAGGGATTAGGTTTCTTCTATTGTTTTGAGTATGTTGAAGTATGTCACGTACATTTCTGTATTGTCTTGAGAAAGTGAAATTGACACATTTTAGTCATCTTTATCAGGGAAAACTCATAACAGAAATGATTAGAAATTTTCAAGTCTTCTTCATCTTTTCAAATGAAATATGAATGTTACTAGGTGCTAGGATCATTCTCATTTTGCCATGAGATTTCAGCTTTAGCTTCATGTTGAAGGCTACACTGATTTTGAGATGAAGAACACCAATGATAGAGCTGCATGTTCTTTTGCTTTTTGTTTTGTTTTTATTGATATTTTTGATGAAAGAAAAGAAATTTGAAGGTTATAAGGTGGACACCAAGGACCATCTTGGTTCTTGGCCTCAATTTGGCCACTTTTGATGAGTGGGGATGACTCTATTTGCCTGTGCTGTATTGTACATAGTAGTTGAAATGTCAGCTTTTAAGTTATTTGTACAACCTTTGTAAGCATCAAAAAGCATATGATGCTAAGAAGATGAGTTGAATTGCATTGAATCTCATTTGCAATCTTTAAAGAATAAAAAACATGTACCCAACTTCAATAAAATTCAATCTTCTTCTGTATCATTACTAGAATACATATATGGCAAACTTCTCTCAAGCCATAAGAGATTGGGTTTTTTTTTTTTAAACAGTAAACCATGAAATTAGGCAAAGAGTTGCCTGTTGAATGAAAAATGGGCACTCAATGAGATTGAAGATAATTGAAGCTATATTGCCTGAACACATTTTGTACAATCTACATGAAATAATAAACTTGTTTGGTATTTTTCAGAACTTTGACACCAGTGAATCCAAATTAAGAAGAGAATTTGAAGTGTATGGACCTGTTAGAAAGGTAAGATTATCACTCTGTTGCATTTTTTTTCTAAACTTTTTTTTAGTCCCCTACCTACAAAGTCGAAGGGGACTTTAGGTTTGCACTCTGTCTGTCTGTCTGTCTGTCAGTCCAGCAAATCAGTTTTCTGCACTTTTTTTCTTCATGCTTGAAGATATTGATTTGATATTTGATGTATTGTTTTATCATGACAAGTTACAGATCAAGTTCGAATTTTATTGCGGTCTGATGATTTTATGCAGAGTTATGGTCATTGTTTTTATAAAGATAAGATGTGATATGATTGCTAACGAGACAACTACCCACCAGAGACCAAAGAATGTTTTTGTAAGCAACTATTGGACACTGTATGGACTTCAAACTATGAGCACAAATTCACACCTAAAAGTAAGCTGTGAAAGGGAAAAACAAATGTCCTGATTTAGCATCTGTTGCCAGATTGTCTATTTCTTTCCAAATTATTACTAAAAGTAGTCCTGTTGGTCACCTGAATTGCACATAGTTATTGATATGTGAAAGTGATATTTGTATTAAGTAAGTAGTTCAAAGGCCACCTCATCATGATCTGTAAGTTTTTTCTTTGAAGGAAATGGAAACTATGTTTCTTAACTTTGAGATTGTACGTGCAACACTGAACAGTATGCAATTCTCAGGACAATTGAACTAGCCATAGTAAATAATGTTGTAAATTATTGCTATGTTGTCTAGAAGATTTACCAACATCAGTTTAGCTATATCTAAGTATAAATCATTCCAATCACTCCTCGTGGGAGTCCTTGTTGTAACATATCCATACAATTTGATCTGGGAAGTCAGGCTTCAAGCTGCTCAATGTTTACCATACATTAAGAATAAATAGCAGATATTTCTTGCAATAATAACTTTAAATAATACCTAGAGGAAGTTTATGACATTGCAAATTAAATTTGTGGAGATTCATTGAAAAAGCTTCTGGTTCCCTGCTGGAAGCAATTGATTTCTGGTCTGATACAGGACTGTAATGGTTAAAAACTATGTAATATGGTAAAACCTGTCTAAACTGGATATTTCATGACTTCAGATTTTGTTTGCATTAGACAGATGGTTTGTTTACCTAGGTAAACTACTTAAAGATATTCCGTTTAATTATATCATGATGCTTAGATTTTCATCAGGTTTACACAGGGTGGATTCACAACAAAGTTCAAAATTTATATAATGATTGCTGTTCTGGCTCCAGGTTGTTGGAGTATCCAGAAGTCAATATTTTGGTTTCTTGATAAAATCTTGTAAGCCATAATGAATATCTTTTCCAAAATATGGGTTGATAATACCCCATGGAATGAAGAAAAGCCCAGGTGACTCAAAGGTTACAAGGTCAAAGATCATGGTTACAAACGATTTTGATATACTGAAATTATGGTAACAGTTAATTTGAAAATGATATCTTTTGAACCATAAATATCTATCAATCTTGGTTTGGTTTGATATGCCACAAGATAAGGGGATAAGACCCTATTGATTTTTGGATTGATATGCCACAAGATAAGGGGATAAGACCCTATTGATTTTTTGGATTGATAGGTTAAAGATGAAGGTCACAGCAGTTATTGAAAGATTGATATTGGAGCAAAAAGCTTGGTTTCAATATATATCTTTTAAACCATATGTTCAACCCTTCAGGTGTAATTTTTGTAAGAATTGTCAGAATTCAAACAAATTCCTGTATACAAGCAGAGCATATTCGTAGTAAACACAATTTCCCTTTTGAAATTTGGCAGTAAACAGATCTGTGTTTGCTGTAGAAGACTGATCCTTATGTTGATCTTTTAAACTATGTATCAATAAGCATGACTTACTTCTGTCAGACAAGATCTCATCAGTGCTAATCAATTTATTATTTTACCTATCCAGTTGCATACCGACATATATCTATATTGTTTGAGAACAGATGTGTTTTTTGTACACTATTGTCATTTTCTGTATTGTATATCCATGGCATTGTCCAGAATGAATTCATATTTGACTTACTATGGCAATTAAAATGTTAAAAACAAAATAGAACAGCAACATCTGTCACAGGTTGTGGTTGTTTCAAATTTATTTTTTCCAAAAGGGATCTGTTTTTCTTAATATAATTAACTTGTTCGTGTTGGGAGAGGTCAGACAACTAAAATGTACTAATTTGAGATCTTATAATGACATAAAAAAAAGTATGAAATCATGTGCCAATAGTATATAAATGAAAGAAAATGTGAAAATTTGTTAATGAGACTTCAACCCAACAACAAATATAAACAAAAGATGTCTAGAGGACATCCTACATACAGTCTTATAAATAAGCTTTATTTAGACTCGGCATAGTATACAAAACAAGGACATAACATAAGCTATCCACAATAGATAGGTGCTTATACTGTACATGAAGCCTTCCTTAGTCTATAAAAGTTGTGAATAAATTAAACAGGTACAATAAAAGATCTGCCATTGACAAACAATTCTCCAAATAACTAAAAAACTTTCAGATATTACATAAGAACACCACTGACAAGTTATGTACTAAGTGTATGTTCTTTAGTGGTCAAAAGGAGTTGCAGTGTAATAAGGGCAATTGGCTCAGTGGTCAAGTGGGAATGATCTACAGCCCTTGACCATTAAGCAATGTATCTCTGATACTCTTAAGATAATATCAAACGTCATTGCTTCGATGTATGACGTACATGCTATGATGGTTTTGGCCGAGAAAGTAAAAAATCTGGAATATGTTACACTGGTCAAAATGGAATTAGTAAGGTAAATATTCAAGGCATACTTTTTTCATTATTGTTGGTATTCAGGTGAGGGGCCTGACTAAGGGTTTGCTGAGTTCATATTATTCAAATATCTTTCCAGTTAAGGTGAAACAATGATAGTAAAGCATTTCTGTGTTCTTGGCATTAAGACAGAACTGTTTGAAAGACAAATATTCAAGGAAACAATTCAAATTGTTCATTTTATTTTTGAAAATCAAATGCAAACATGCAATGGAAGGCAAAAAATGCCCTGTATGATCCTTCCTGCATTAAGGTCAAAAGTATAAATAGATAGACATGTATACATGCAAAGCATAAGATCAATAAAACAATTGGCAGATCTTACAAGTATTCAGTAATTAATTTTTAGTTCCTTAAGGCTTGCCATGTGATTTACTTTGTAACATTATAGATCATTAGCAGATGTATAAGAGTCTGAGAGAGAAGTCTTAATTATTATATAAATGTGTGATCCAGTCCTAAGATCATGCAACTTTCTATAGATAGGGAGACATGGTTGTAAAAAAGAGCATTTCAATGACAGTGTTTTGTTTCAACTTTTTGTTGGACAATCCTTATTGGTAAACTTATTTTAGAATAATTTTTCTAAGATTGTATCTTGATTGGGGTAATATAAGAAAAAAAAAAACCAAAGTAATGTTATATTAAGACAACAGTTGGTCTTACTTAGTCAATTATTATTGATATGCAAATTGCTAAATACAATTTAAAGGTCAGCTTTCGTTTATGACTGGGAAACATAGATCATGGTAGCAAGTCCTTTCTTCAACAGTTGGTTTTAAATTGAGGTTCATTCAAGGGAGATTATGGTAACAGGTCCTTGATTTAAATTGAGGTTCATTCAAGGGAGATTATGGTAACAGGTCCTTTCTTCAACAGTTGGATTTAAATTGAGGTTCATTCAGGGGATTCTATTATTTAATTTAAGTCTTAGGCTACTTAGAAGTAATTTTTTTTTTTTTTTTTTAAATACTGTGGATTCATCATTATTTGGTGGATACCAATTTTCGTGGATTTAGAGGGTATATGTAAACATTGAATTAAATGTTCAACAAGGTACATACTTTTGACTTAGACTTTGAAGAATCCATGAATATATCAGTTTCTTCAATCCATGAAAACTGATATCCATGAAAATTAATGAATCCATACTAAAAGGTATATAAGCTCTTACCTCATCACCACCGCTTCCCCAAAAGAAAATTCCACCGAGCCTATTGAACATCATAATAAATGTCACCAGGCACTGACAGGGAATCAGAAGAATTCTTATCTAATGCATCGCACATTTTGACATCATCGTTTGATCAACACTAGAAACAATTAGGGGATCGTTGAATGATACAGGTATGAAGCATCCCTAGGTTGTACAGAATTCACATTAAGCAGAAAAGTCAAATGTTAAAAGTACGTGCGATTATAATTTTTCGTTCAAAAAAAAATTGGTACAGTTGTTATGCTCATATGCAACAACCTTGTACTTTTGCAAGTGAATAGCGCTAAGTTGTAGCGATCAGCCCTGAGATAATTTGTCAATGAGATGTACTTTTGGAAAATTAAGGATGATTTATGCTGTAAGATACAGTCTAAACCATTTAAATATCACAAACTGAAAAAAGAATAATAGCCAACTAATTTCTCTTTGATCATATACTTTCCAACAGATTGTGAAAATGCATCAAAACTTTACAATCACAGTGTTTGCTTTACGAAACCGTCAACCTTTTAAGATATGTTTACTGCCAGTCAAAAGGTATGACCTTGGTTCAATACTCATCTACAGTACACAATGCATGAATAGTATGATGCAGGTTCATTAAGCATATTCCATGTCATAATTTTAAAACGTGTCGACAGAGAATGCACATATAATAAAGGTTGTGGCATTTTGACAGCCAGAAACTTTCTAAATTGCAATAGTTTTAATATGGCACAAGTATATGCAGATGCTCTTATTCATGAACAAGAGGTATTTGGACCTTCAAGTGAACATTGACTGAATAAAAATGACATAAAGCAAGCAATTTTTGTTAACTATTTGGCAGAGAGAGTGAGGAACTGTATTTGTTACTCTACCAACCTGTGAAAGAATATAATGCTTTTGATGTATCAGTGTTCAGGATTAGGCAAAGCTTAGCTAATATGTTGGTTAATATGACTTGAGGGCCATTATTCTTGAGCATGAATTAGTATGGTTAATTTTTTCAG